TTGGCGCGGTGGGTGGGCAACTGGCTGCCGCGCAACGTGTCGCGGGTTCCCGTATGGAACAAATCTTTGTGTGATCCACAAATTGTTGCTCCGGGTGTGTGTGTGATGTGTATGTGACATTGTATGTTTGTAAACGCACCCACGTCACATGAGAAAATACTAGTGTAGGGACGACTTTTATTTAAGCAAATTGTTTGAATAAAAATTTTATGTTCTTAATAAAGCTTAATATTTAGTTAGTTAATTTAAAACGTGATCTAGCACAACACATGTTTCGTCTGCGCCGGCGCACGACCTTCATCCAAGGTCCTCGAGCACAGTTTTATTATTGTTTATATACGAAACTTAGAAATATATGGTGTACCTATGTTTATCAGGTTTTTTAGTTTCTATAAACATTTATTTTGACTGTATTTTCGGTGTCTGTATTTGGGACTGTATTTTATTTAAATAAAAAAATACAAGGCTTTAAATAGACCTTCTCTATTTTACAGTAAAACAGAGACGGTCTATTAATTCCTTGTTTCAGAACAGGGGGGGGGGTTTAGGGGGAGTCTGACACTCCCTCCCGCTCAGCCCTGGGCGGGAGAAGTCATTTGATGATTCACCCCTCACAAAAATAAATAAAAAAAAAACATCTATAAGACTGTTCGTTTGCCACCCTATCAAATAAAGTAAAAGACACGGCGAAATGATGAAGCGATACTAGAAGACAGAGATTTAAATTACCATGTCACTTACACATTGACCCTGAATATTTTTTTCTGGTTTCAACGATAAACAAATCATGGAAAACCACGTGTGCAGTATTACACGTTAAATTTATATTTAAGTACGTAAAAAATGAAATAAAAAAATATTTATGTTTACTGGACTTTTTAGCACATTAATGTCCTGTGGTAAAGAAAGGATAATTTCATGAAAGTGACTTGTAGAAGACAAATGTCTATACTAATATTATAAAGAGGTAAAATTTGTAAGTTTGTATGTAGGGGGTAATCTTTGGAATTGCTGGAATTGCCGCTGGTTGGATTGCCAAAATTCTTTCACTGATAGATAAGTAACTACAATGTTCCCGAGTGCTATAGAACATAAAACATCACGCTACGATCAAATGGCAGAGCGTGAAACTGCGCGAGAGTAGCTAGTCGGTTATAATATCGAGGGCTAAACCAGCGTACCTACTTATTAAATAAGTTATTACCGTTGCCCAGGGGCGGAAAGAGCGAAAAAAAATCTAATTTCAAAATGGTTGCAAAGAATAAAATTGGTTTTTTAAAATCCGTATGTTAATTTCTCGGTGATTTTCCTATGCGTTTGGCAATGATGTGGTTTATTGACGGCTCGGATACATGAAGACCTTCGGTGTTTAAATTTGATCATTTTTAGATTATGAATAATGTTGCTTGAAGTAGGTATGTTGATTTCTTAAAAGAGTGGAGAAAAAATCCCTACCTACCTATCAAATTCAAAATCGAAATCACATAATTCTATTCTATTTCAATTAGACTCTTACAGACACTCTTGAATGTCAAACAAAGCTTATCTAAAGATAAAAAATTACATCGGTCAGTCCTCTTAATGAAGTTATTTGCTCGTTCCAAAGTGTAGATTCCAATGGAAAAGAACGAGCAAGAAACTCCATGGTTAAGTACTCTTTGTTAATCAGTTTCACATACAGATTTTTGTTACATTATTGTAACGTTCAATCGATTAATCGACTTATAGTAGTTATGTCACGTCATCAGTTTTGACAGTTGAGCCTGTGTTGTCTATGAGCGAGCGAGCGGGCAAGCGGGCATTCGAATTTTGGCGCCAAGCGTGGCAGTGTGACACCCGTATTGTAAAAATACTAATTAATAAAAGTTTGTGTTCCACCAATTGTCGCCTTTTGTTGAAGATTTCCCTGAGCTGTGTTTCAGCTCAGAAGTGGGATTACAGCAAAATATACCGTTTTGCAACGCCCACAAGGCCAAAGTTCCAGATGGATGAGGGCGAATATGATGAGGTCAGGCGACGGCAGCCGGAAACTCCAGTAAGACGATCGGTACAACTGGAGGGGCGGAGTACGAGAGCTCGTGAGGATGAGCGTCGCAGTCGAAGCCGAACGAGACACGAAGGCCGGCGAGGCAGTACCCATTTGCGGAGCAGGAGTCGGAGCACACGTGGAGCAGGGGGTGGGCGGCTCGGGCGTAGTCGTTCCCGCCGCCGAGAATCTTATGACGATGACGATTTACGCCAGAAGCTACGGCTCTTGGAGGACCAGTTGCTGAAGCGCAATGAACAACGAAGGCGCGACGAAGCAACGACCAATTACCGGCGGTCAACTAGTCAAGCGCGGAAAATATACACCCCTCCTCGTAGTGATCCCAGGAGCCCCGAACACAAGAAACCGATGTACTCTGATCAAGTAAATTTCTTTGAAGAGTTCACTAAGTTTTTTAAGGGCAAGGATCGTGAATCGTTTCTGTCGTCTTCAATGAACAATGTCATTCCAGAATTTGATCCACTCTTAAGGGAACAAACAATTGATGTATGGTTGAACAAAGTAGACGAGTGCGCGGAGATTTATAACTGGAACGACAAGCAAACGGCTCACTTTGCCCTGCCCAAATTGACTGGACATGCTAAAACTTGGTACCAGGGCTTACCTTCTATTAAACATTCGTGGTTAGAATGGAAGCGTATATTACGTGAATCTTTCCCGTCAACTGAAAATTACGCGGAATTACTGACAGAAATGCTTAATAGAAGGACACGCCCTGGTGAATCTTTAGAAGTATATTATTTTTCAAAAATCAACTTGCTCAACCGTTGTAAAATATTTGGGAAACAAGCAGTGGACTGTATTGTATTCGGAATAGAGGATAAAGGTGTCCGCTTAAGTGCACAAGCCGGGAAATTTGACAAACCCGAAGATACATTAGAGTTCTTTAAAACAGTTAAGAATTATCAACCACGAGACTTGCGTGATTTTAGGAGGGATACTCAGTCGAAGGATACGCTCCCCTCAAGCGCCACCAGTATCGCTCCGAGAGTCAATGGTTCGGTTAGGAGTCAACCTAAGGGAAACTTGACGTGTTTTAACTGCAACGATCCTGGGCACATGAGTTGGCAGTGTCGTAAACCTTTGAATAAATGTACAGATTGTAATTATTTAGGCCACAATTCAAACGATTGCCCAAAGAAATCGAAAAGTAGCAACTAATTATAAAAAAAGATGATTTGGTTAGGGTAATTAGAAACGTTATAGGAGGTACAGGAAAATCAAAAAAAAAGTTAGAACCCAAATGCCAAGGGCCATACCGAATCAAAAGTGTACTCCCTAACGATCGATATCTCATTGTTGATACGCCGATTACGCGGAAGGGTAGGCCATATGAAAATGTGGTGTCCGTGAATAAAATATTCCCTTGGATGAATTTTGATGCTGCCTGCTTGTTCCTCAAGTGACGATAGTGACAACTAATTTTAATGATTTGAAGATAAACATGATTGTTATTGATTATAGAGATTGTGATAGCTTTGTATTGATTATATTAGAATTCGATAATGTAGAGATGTCATAAGAGAAGTAGTGATTGTCTACATGACTCAGAGCTTGAGCGGACGTAAGCCGAGCATGAGAGTTATGAATGGCAAACCTCATCAATTGGGTAGTGAAAGAATAGAAGTAACTATCCTTTGATGAGCTATAGTGATAAGGTGATGCGATTCAATTGGGTAGTGAAAGAATAGAAGTAACTATCCTTTGATGAGCTATAGTGATAAGGTGATGCGATTCAATTGGGTAGTGAAAGAATAGAAGTAACTATCCTTTGACGAGCTACAGTGAGATTATGATAGCGATAGTGATTGTTTGATGAGATCTAGGTATGTATCTATATTTGTAGTGAAACAACAAAAGTAGCACTCCTTGCATATATCATTTACTTTGTGAATTAGAATAATTGTAACGTACAGATCTGATTGTAAGACAACTTGTTAGACTTGTAAGTAATTATTTTGTGATCGGTAATTAGTAATTTGATTGAAAACGTTATTGTTACGATAGGTACGCAACATAATTTGTATTATAAATTGTATTTTTTCTTGAGTTATGAACGAAGGGACTCGTTACTGTGACGGATGGCCGACTGTAACGTTCAATCGATTAATCGACTTATAGTAGTTATGTCACGTCATCAGTTTTGACAGTTGAGCCTGTGTTGTCTATGAGCGAGCGAGCGAGCGGGCAAGCGGGCATTCGAATTTTGGCGCCAAGCGTGGCAGTGTGACACCCGTATTGTAAAAATACTAATTAATAAAAGTTTGTGTTCCACCAATTGTCGCCTTTTGTTGAAGATTTCCCTGAGCTGTGTTTCATTATTAAGTTGGTTTGATTATTTGAGAGCAGTATGTATCTTATTTATCCGTTTTATTGTTATTAATTTACTTGTTCCTTATTTGTAGTTAAATGTTTTTTGATAGGACCCCTTACATTAATCGTATGTACTTTTTTATATGCCAAGCTTTAGTAAAAAGAAATCTAAAAACTGCAAATATCCAAGATACATAAATCAATCTCTTTATCATGAATGGTAGTCGTTTGACAAGAACCTTTAATTTATATTATAACGTTTTCAAAAGTATTCACCCAAAAGTATTTTAATTTGAATCTAAGACTAAAATAAGTCTACTGGCATCAAATCGTTAAAAACTGATATATAATTCTAAGCAATGATATTATAAGTAAAAAGTTGAAAAGTACCATTTTACTTATAATATCTATCATTGATTCAAAGTATTACCACATAGTATAGTAATAAAAATGTCCGGTAAGCAACAAATCCGAAATGCCTATTACCAAAACCTAAATAGTACTGTCACAAATGACGCATAAAAACGAACAAAATAGAACAACCAAAGACACGCGACGCGTCAACACAAGAATTGTCTATGACAAATTCGCACAGATAAAAAAAGTAAGCAGAAAAAATACAGTTGCCATACAAACTCACCTCTTCGACGGACTTCTTGGAGAACTCGTTCATGGACACAATCCATTGCTGCACCAGTTCATTCACAATAACTAGATCATTATATAACCACGTCAATAGGTCATTCACCCATTGCACACTCGGCGGGTCGGGGCCCGTACACGTAGGTACTATGATGCTTTGGTGTTTCTTCAGCGTCAGTTGTTCGGGCCCAGGGGACATGCGACCTAACCTTCTCTTGTTTGGAGGGGTGGCTGGCACGAACCCAGTGGGCTTAGCAGGTTTAAACGAAGCACTTTTAACCTTAGCACTAGTAACAAGCACGCTATCAGCACTATTAATAATTTCGTTCGATGTTTTCTTCACTTCTTCCACAGTAGTTTTTTGTTTTGTATCGACCTCGGCTACCTTGTTCGCGAATCGGGAATACGCCCATTTTGCGATGCCTAACAGGACGATGGAGAATAGTATCCATATAAAGATTAGCATGACTAGGTTGTCCATGGCAGTGTCCATATAATCGAAACTACATATGAGATCGTCCACTGCTTCTGCTAAGTCGGCCATAGTTTTCCATGGTGCTTCCCACCAGCGCGCGGCGCCCGTCCCCGCCGCTGTATCTTCGATCACTGAATGAGATTGAGCCATTTTTTTTTCTATTTTCGAACGCACTATTTTCGGATTGAGCTCTGTCTCTTTCTCGCTGTGTCTCTCTCTCTGTTTTGAATGCGTTCAGTTTATTAACATTTCGTTCGTTCGTGTTTGTCGTAGTTTCGGTTACCCTCGGGTTTTCTGCATTGTTTTAGACACTGTAACAATAAAGAAAATATAATTTAGTGTTGTCTTGATGGCATGGTCGTTATCGAGACGAATCAAAGACAAATTTCCATAATATCGCAATATATTAAGTATGATTACCAGTTAAATTAAAATAACGACCTAATTTGACATGCATTATAACTAAATTCGTACCAATTAGTGTAAATTATGCAAATTACAACCGACAAACAGCTTGACAGGTTCTCATTAGGTAAATGCAATTTCTAAATTATCTGTCGACTTGTAAAAAGATAGGAAAAAATATTATAAATAATGTTCCCCACAATTCATCATCCCCAAGCGAACGCCGGCGTTCGCGCACCTTAGTTATTCTATTGTGTCTCGAATTAACTAAAAAGAAATTAAACGTTCTCAAAAATTAGTTCACGATATACTACCTCGTTCGATAACAATGTCATTTGAAACAATAAGGAATAGGCTATTATCGTACAATGAGCCATACAAAGCTAAGTACGTATAATATACCCATGCGGTCAAGCATAACTGATGATGTAATAGCTTAGTTTTATGCTTGCACAGTAGTAGTGGAACATCAGTGCCAGAGGTTAACGCACTCATGCATAATGGCGCGGGTAAGAAATTCCCCCTCCCCCACATCAGGAGAGCCAAGCTTCGGCACAAATGGATCACCTCGACCGGAGTGATACCACGGCCTCGCAGAATACCGGCGTTGAACAACCCATAGTGTTGAGTTTCGCCGTGTGAGTGAGGTGTTACCGGAAGCCCAATCCCTTCCCTTCCCCTATCCCTTTCCGATCCTTATATCCGCAACCCCTATCCCCAAAAGGCCGGCAACGCACTCGTAACTCCTTTGGTGTTGCGGGTGTCGATGGGCGGCGCCGATTGCTTACCATCAGGTAATCCGTCTACTCGTTTGCCCACTTATACAATAAAAAGTCAATTTTTTTGTAAGTTAAAAATCATCGAAAAATTTCTCTCATTTCTCTCGCCCAGGATCAGGCGAGAGGGATCCCGTACAAATAATTGGCCGTGCCGCGGTTTCGATTCCCGCACGGAACAACTCTTTGTGTGATCCACGAATTGTTGTCCCGGGTCTGGGTGTGATGTGTATGTGAAATTGTATGATTGTAAACGCATCCACGACAGAGACAATCCTAGAGTGGGACAACGTTCTTTACACAAAAAGAAATCACTATTAAACAGATCCCGACAAGGTTGGCAACACAGTCTTCATGATCCTGTAATGGTGTTGCTAGCCAAAAAAATAGTAGACAAAAAAAAATAGTATGTATTTATGAGGTGTCAAAAATAACATTAATCCACTTAAGGGTTATAGGGTCAGCAGTATTACGAACATGGCGTAGGTAGTGTTTGTTTTATTACTGTAGACAATTAGTTAATCTGAACCTCTAGTCATCTAATCCAATTTTCATTAAGCCAATTAACAGAGTTGTATTAACTGGACAAGGTTAAACATATTAGAATTGTTTCAAGATCAAAATTTTGTTGTTATGGGAAACTAGATTCTTGTCCGCGACTTCGTTCGCGTTGAATAGTGACTTTCTGCAGATTTTTGGTATAAAAACTATCCTATGTCCTTTCTCGAGTATCAAACTATGTCTGACCCAATTTAACAGAAATCGGTTCAGTAGTTTAGGCGTGAAGAAAAGACAGACAGACTGACAGACAGAGTTTATACATTTGTAATATTAGTTTGGATGTAAGCTAAGATAAATTGCTGTGTCGTTGGTGCATTTGCAATCACAATTTTACATACAAAACACAACCAGACCTGAATATGTGAATCACACACATGTTCTGTGCGAGAATCGAATCCGAGAGGCATTGCACGGCAGCTAGTTGTCCAGCCACCGCTTTTTTTAAATAAAATCGTATTTTTATTGAAGACTAGCTAGTCTCGCGTGGTTTCATCCTCTGCTCGGCTCCTAAAGATCGTAGCGTGATGTTTTATAGCCTATAGCATTCCCCGATAAATGGACTATCCAACACAAAAAGAATTTTTAAATTCTTATAAACAAACAAAGTCTTCAGCTTCATAGTAATTAGTATAGATTTAATTATTTCATTTTTCTAGGGAGGGATTGTCAGACTCTTACTGACTAAAAACCCCCCTGTTCCTTCTCCTGCTCTGGGCCGAGTTGTCGGTGCCTCATTGCGCTTAACCCACAACCCCGGCTGAACAACAGCCCTATAGGGCCCCGTCTGTAGTGGTCTATTGGGACTTTGAGGCGCGCGCGGAACGCTACGCGCCGTACGCTCGGGTTGGTTACTATCATGAGACCTAAAGTACTGTACCTACACCATTAGTAGGTACGTTAGACATTCGTCAATGAATGAAATAAAAAGAGTGAGAGAGACATGAATAAGAGTCCCATTGTGACTTGAAACTAGTAGAGCTTTCCTCACTTACTCCACGTGATTACGCCATTATCTTATATATAAAAATGAATCGCAAAATGTGTTGGTATTGGTAAGCGCATAACTCAACAACGCCTGGACCAATTTTGATAATTCTTTTTTTGTTGTGTTTGTTATTGTCAGGAGAAGGTTCTTATCAAAGAAAATATTAGAAAAGTAGAGGGGGGAAGTTTAGGAGAAAGGGACCCGTGAAAGTGAAAAGCGAGATAGTTGGACCCGTGCGAAGCGGGGGCGGGCCGCTAGTTTTCAATAAATTCACTCTAAATGGTACACTATCCAAGGCTGACTCAAAATGAGTCATAGACACACAAGTCTAGTACTTCAACGATGACAGACAGCATGACCTAATTCTATTATCACGCCGCCATATTTGATTTTGACCTCATAAATACACTTGTTAATTAGACGAACTACATTCCGGTCAAGTTTTTAATTTGATTAGATATAGCGTTGTTATTTATCGCTCAATGTTAGAGGGGTCATATAAATGTTGTACGCGAAAAGATATAGGTGTAAGTTTGTCACTCAATTACTCAAACACTACTGTATTGTTTAAGATGAAATTAAGTGTGGGAGAGCCATCTTTCGGCACGAATGGGTCGGCTCTCCAGGAGTGATACCACGGTTCAACATCATGCTACAATCAAATGGAGCCGAGCAGCGAGTAAAACTGCGCGAAAATAGGTAGACCACAGATATATGACGGCTGATGGAGAAATAGATCCTTAAAAATATTAAAATATTCAATAAAAAAATCCTTAAAAATATTAAAATATTCACTCAAAAACTCCCTTCAGTACCTATTACGTATGAAATAAGTGACGAGCAAAATCGCTATCAACCTCCATAATATTTCACGCTTAAGTCATTCTGTCAATAAAATTAAGCATGTTCTAACGAAACCAGTGAGTCATTTCACAATCGATCACCATTCCTGTCAGACGAGTGCCAATTACGTGTACGTAACAGGTAAAATAATTTTAAACGTTGTGAATTATTTATTTATAACGATACACGTCCTTGACAATCAATAATGTAAAGGGAAAAAAATTATGGTTTTGTTGTTGAGTTAGTGATAAGAGGTTCTACTTAGTTTTGTATGTACAACGTTTAGTGTAGTGTATGTAACAGGTCGGCAAACGAGCAGACGGATTACCTGATGGTAAGCCATTAGCGCCGCCCATGGACACTCGCAACGGAAGAGTTACGAATGCGTTGCCGACGTTTAAGGGATTTGGGACTTGGAGATTTAGGGATTGGGGGCGGGGAAGGATTGGGTCTCCGGTAACCTCACTCACACGGCGAAACACAACGCTGTGGTTATTTCACGCCGGTTTTCTGTGAGGCCGTGGTATCACTCCGGTCGAGCCGACCCATTCGTGCCGAAGCATGGCTCTCCCACACTTAAAACACCTACTTAGTTTATAACATAGGTATTACAATCATACAAAACAATAATAATTTTACTGCACGGTTGGTGCGGTGGCTGGGGAACTGGCTGCCGTGCAACGTGTCGAAGGTTCGATTTCGGCACGGAACAATTCTTTGCGTGGGTCCACTAATTGTTGTTCCGGGTCTGGGTGTCATGTGTATGTGAAAATGTACGTTTGTAAACACACCCCACGACTCAGGAGAAAATCCGAAAGTGGGGCAATGCTTGAAAAAAAAATTAGGAATATTTGTTGTGAGTGACCTAAGTACTTGTAATAAATTACGGATACTTGATGGAAATAAATGAAAGGCTAAAAAAGAGGCGTGCACAGAGCAATAGACTATAAAGTATATGAACATAATAATAATATGTTGAAATGCGCTCGCGGATGTCAAATTTCAAGCAGTAGGTACCTAGCAACTTGATTTTCTATTTATTTTTATTTCTATTTCTATCTATAGCATCTATGAGTTCTCTAAATGTAGATAGTACCTATAGTTAGTTATAGATATAGGTGATTTCTTGCTTTTTATCACCAATTTTACAGTATAAAAGTAAACACTTAACACTTTTTATCACAACTGGTTTGTATTTTAGCAGAGTAACGGTCCTTTTCAAATCTCCAACAATTATGCCTTAAAAATAATCGTCCTACCTTATTTATACTTTCATAAAATATCAAATGACTAGTTATTTATGTTTAATAAATATTATTTCTAGTGTGATTAAATCTCCAGTGATCATTAATACAATAAATTAAATCGTATTACTCAGGACATAATTATAAATCAATTATTTAAATTAATCAGTAAATAAATAATCTAAATATGACGTCATATCCGCTGTCCTCTTATTTGGTGTTGCTAGTACTGGTTAACACTCGGCCATCCTGCCCAGACCGTGTCCCACGGTCGCTGTTACGCCATCCAGAAGCAGCTCCGTTATCCTGAAATAGAGAATAATACTCCGCAGTAACTGGTTGCTTTACACAATATGAAAATAGTTGAATGTGTTTTCTAATATAATATTTTTATGTCACACAGGAAAAATACATATACACAGGGTTCATGACATGTTCACACAGTTGTTTTTAGTCGCAGCGGACTCGTTCACATAGCCGTCCATACTGCAATTTAT